CCCTACAGTGCCACCTGTTGGTCACAAACTGAAACATGACACAACCAAACGCAGGCTTACAACACGAGCCAGAGAATATTGAACTGGAAATATTTTTTCTCATAATATATTTTCTATGCCATACAACATAATACTTAGAACGCATCTGTGGTTTGTTATTTGCATCCACATGGGATTATTTTTCGATCAACCAACCTAGAGGGGGTTGTCAAGTTGAGTGGTGTTTATGTTGTCATCATTCAATTTTAGCATGTATGGTACGTCAGTTTAGACCGGATATGTTTTTTTCCATGTTGATTTTCATTGTTGATTTGAGATTTGAGATGAGAGTGAAGTATTTGCATGTACCATATTACGGACCATTTTTTGCAACAGTCCATGCCTGTATGTGAAGTCAACAAGCTGACTCATCACAGCACATTGTCAGGTCACATAATTATTTTTCTGCTCTCTAAATTAATCCAAAGCAATGCTGTTAGAAAGAAACCTATCAAATATTGCAGTCACCTGAATGAACATGGCATTTAGTAAGCCACCACGATGGGAGATGTTCTACACTGACAGATGCACTTTTCGGATCTCTAAACAGATTTGGTCTGGATTTATGGCTTCATTAGTTTGTGTTTGGACCACAGTGAGCACCAGTGACAGGAGCAGGTTAGAGCCTGATTGGGATCTTGGAAAGAACCGCAATTGTTCTCCTCGTGTCCTAATAAAAAATATAAATCAAGTGAAAGATTGTAATGAAATACTGTTGGTGAGTAATCAAACTTTACATATCGCCACATCTTAGATTCATTATGATTCGGTGAGTGATACAGCTGTGACATTGTAATCCAATAGTCTGGAACAGCAACACATCAATGCCACAATATGTTGGATTTTTATGCATTTATTGCACAGCATTTTCTCTGGTGACTTCCTTGCTGCTTCCCTGAGCAGAAAATACTTCAGTACTCTGCAGCCACATCTTCTCATTGCGTACGTGAATAGACTGGCGAAGATTATGTAATGATGCGAGTGGACCGATTACAGTGGATATAAAGTCGACACACTACTGTTCAAATGCCACGTTTTGTGACACCAAGGTAAATCTTTTCAAAACTTTTTCCACAAAACTTTTTAATGTGTTGAATAATTTGTATAAGTAAATTAATTTTTTTAAAAAGCTTTTTGAGTGTGCACGCCCTCTTATAACCTGTGATATAGCTCCGTTCAGAATTCATTAATCACATTCAAACTTATGTGAAAGGGAAGTCCTCACAGACCTGCCATTATTTAAAGTGCCTTTGATAAATTAACTGAAGTTCACATGTTCCAGAAACTCAACAAACCATTTTTGTCAGTGCATAGAGTCTGATGAAGCTAACATCAACAGGGATATAAAATGCTCTCTACACGCATTTAACGGACCTTATCCGAAACGCTGTCCGAGATATGACCCTTACGAAGCTTTCATATGCATTCAAAGCAGAACCAATGTCAAGCAGCATTAACTTGATGAAATCCTCGAAAGTCATGACTCTGCTCCTCAGAATGGCACTTGAAGGAGCAATTATATAATTGAGCATAAAGAAGAATAGCAGAATACTATAAGGCAATTTTGAATTTGTTACTGTGTGTGTGTGTGTGTGTGTGTGTGTGTGTGTGTGTGTGTGTGTGTGTGTGTGTGTGTGTGTGTGTGTGTGTGTGCGTGCGCACGCACGTGCGTGCGTGCGTGCGCATGGAACCATGAGTGTGTGTGTGCGCGCACGTGCGTGCGTGCGTGCGCATGGAACCTTGCGCCCCGGTGAAGATAAAAGAAATAAATTACAAGGGCACTTGCGGCACTTTGTTTTTACCTTTTATATTTCCTCTCCAAAAGTCTGACTTTATAATAACCTTTCACTTTGTTTCACAAGCTCCAAAGAGAAAACCTCATTGTTTACCCCACCATTAATACTGTTTGAATCATATTGTACGGAGATCAATGGGCGTGTAGTGTACAGTACACACACACACACACATACACACATTTAGTTTTGACGGATAGCTTCTTCAGAGGAGAAGTTGTAAATAATGGGACAATGATGCCTTTAATGTGTCCACTAAAATGTATTGCACAAGCAGACCCCTGGCTCAGTAATAACAGTACTTCATGCCATGCAGGAAGCAAACTTGAATATATTGCATTACGTGAGACTTCAGACTTCGTCAGCATTATTGTTGATAAAAAGCACCACGTTTACCGTTGTTTTATTAGAGGATATGTACTTGGTGCATTTTTGGGTGATTTTGTCAAATGGGCTTTTTCAAAGCTATTGAGACACTGCACCTAAAAGCACTCATACGTGAACTCATAACACATAGCGTTAGTTAGCAGTCTTGAGTTTTTGATAAGCAACACTTGATGGCTCAGTGAAGTTGTAGATGCGGTCGGTGAAGTGTTTGAGAATTTAATCCATGCTGTGTTGTACAGTTTTGTGACTCACATGTTCCTCTTAGTACAGCAGAACAATTTCACACCGAGTGTCCTATATCTACCTTTTGTGACATTTTTGTTTCATGGACTACCGTCTGACTTTTATAATGTAAAATGAAGGCCTAAGGGAGACACTGCTTTAGGGCCTTTGAATTTTGAGATTCCACTTCAGAGAGAGAAATTATCCTTTTCGTCTGATAACACGACGGCAAACCTTTTCGTTTCACCTATGCCTTGTGCAGTTTCATGTCAGTATAATGCAATTACAGTTTCATTTCATTCTAATGAGTGCCTTTTGTACCCTGTTACAGGCAAGTGCAGCTAAATGGGCCTTACAGTTGGTGCCATTTAAGTGGCATTTATCCACTCATTATCTATTCGCCTTGTCCCGTCCCGTGAGATGGCTTCTCAGACTCAAGGGCGACACGTGGTTGCTTGGGTGTCACTCGCTGTGGATCACTGACCTCCTGAAGCCTGTCCAACACACTGATGACCACATTAGGAATTCCACAAGGCTGCAAACACACTCTTGCTCCCATTTTTTTTTTCCTTAGTAACTTCTCCCCTGACCAATGTCGTCTGGAACATCCTCTGGGTTACCAGTTCGCACAAAACGCCAGTGCGCTAGTCCAGCATGTGGGAGAAGTTCTGTCTGACGGATGATTACATTCTCATATGTTATAAACAAGAGATATATTCTAAGCATTTTCTTGTTACCAAACCCCTCATGATAGTAACTTAAACCGTAGTTGAATCAACAGTTATTCTTTACTTCTTGATATTGTCACGTTGCGAGGTGGTGGTGGACCCCAAAAAGCAGACAGGAGGGACAAGCAGTGTGTACTTGACAAATTGTATTTAAAGATAGAGAAAACTAAATCCAAAACAAACAGTCCAAAGTATCAAACAAAAATCATGACTGAAGCTAAAACATAACAGTGACCAAAACATGACTGAAACAAACCTGACAGCAGCAAAGGAGCAAACAAGCAAAAAAATGACCCAACACTGAGTGGTTGTGCCGGGAGTCCTTTTAAACAATTACATAACGACCAACAGGTGTGCAGCTGCAGGGGGAGCCCTACAGTGCCACCTGTTGGTCACAAACAGAATCATGACAGATATGGTTTCAGTCATAACGGCCCTCCAAGTGAAACGGTAACTAAAATGTGGCACGCGCCAAAATTGAGTTTGACACCCCTGGTTTAATCCCTCACTTCGCACCTGTTTGCTATGGTTCACCCTAAAGCCCCAGACAACTATGACCACAGGATCACTGGGACACACGGAGGAACAAGGGATCCTGTTCATTCATTCATAAATGTTACTAAATATATATTTTTGTTACATGTTATTATTAGGAGTAGGATGCATATTATTTTAATAATAATAATAATAATAATAATAATAATAATAATAATAATATTAGTAGTAGTAGTAATAGTCGTACTAGTTGTAGTATGAAAACCAGAAATGCTATCGAGGAAAATGAGAGCAAAAAATTCATTTAGAAATGTTTTCTTGCATCTTGCAATGAAAAAAAAATAATCAAAATGAGTTGACCGGTGTTATTTATTGAGTTATAGTACTATTATATACACAAGGCTAGGATAATATATGTGGTGATAATGATCTATCTATCTATCTCTCTATCTACAGGTATCTACAGTATCTATCTATCTATCTATCTATCTATCTATCTATCTATCTATCTATCTATCTATCTATCTATCTATCTATCTATCTATCTAAGAAAAAAAGACCTGTTCAAAGTATTTCTTTTCTTTATTCGACTTGGACTCACAACATTACAGCACCACATAAATAAGTCACGTTGCAACTGCGAATGAATCAAATATGCGCATTCAATTTCAAAGACTTGGTCAAAGGTTGCATCATGACATCATTCCTATTTTTTATTCTCAGACTCAACACAGAAGCATAGAACATTAAGAAGCAAAAAGGACAAACAAGAAACAATTGCAATGATGCAGTGTGTACGTATAAATAGCCCTCATCTGAGAATCGGGTCTCAGGGGTCATTATTAGTAATGACACTTTATTCATTTTTCTGCCTTTTAGTTTGATTAAAAAAAATGTTCACTTTGTATAACATGTACGTAATATGATACAGATATGCGTTTGGAATGTGTTAATGTTGCCAAATGTATGAATATAAAAGTTATTGCACCATTTCATTTAAAAGACAAACATGCAAGGTGCAGTGTCCTTTCAAGTGCTCATTATAAGGTGATGTGTTGATCAGCCAGACCTGTTTGATCAGGAACACAAACAGTCAGTCATCAAAAGTGTCATGAAAACAGTTTTTGAACTGGGTTGTTTATGTAGATAAACAGAAATACCAATCAAAATGAAAAAACGAAGAGTAACATTTGTGACCTGAATGAAGCCCAAACATCATTACCTTCAAAGTTTTGAGAACTGATAAGCTGGTAAATTCATTAGGGTTAAATATTTGAAGAAAACACCCTCCTTTCACTCAGTTCGCACTCATGCCATGACATACACATCATTAGTATTCTTTCTTTTTTTTTTTTCGAGCGGACCACTGCTGAAAATACAATCATTCCGGTCATCTTTACATTGCTCTCCAATTAAAAGGGCGGTCTCCGATATCTTTAATACTTGGTTGTTTTTCTAGGCATAAAAATGTAAAGTTCATTTTTATCTGAAAAACAAACAGTTGTTTTGGAATAAAAAGAAAAATAACGATCCGGTTTCTTTTGATCTGTACCACAAAGACTATGTTTGTGGATCAAAAGAAAAAAATTTATGTATTTTTTTTTTTTTTATATGACAATGGAAATACTCCTTTATCATTTTTCAGACAGACAGAACCAACTAAAATATCCATTTTGGGGGGGGGGGGATAAAATTAAAACCTCATTTTTCTATATATTATGAAAAGAACAATGAAACAACACTGGAGCCATTTTTTCCCTGTTTTCTGATTTTAAAAATGTCCCAAAACTATCATTTCCACTGATTCACGTGGAACCTGTTCGGGTCAAGCCAACACATTGAAGTTCAAAGTAACAAACATGTTGTGGAGATGTTTATCGACATCTGAACAAGTGCTTGGCATCGATTCTCTCTATTTAAAGCAGCACTTTAAATGAGTGGCCTCTCAATTACACACCAAGTGGTGATTTCTTGTTCAGCTAAATGTTCACGTTCAGAAATCAAGAGGTCACGTGCGAAGCTCATGACACATGCATTAACTCATTCTTTCGTTGGTTCTTAATCGGGTGATTTCGGTAAACCTATGACACGTTCTTGATTGGGTGGATGAGCATGGCCGAATGGGAAATGTACACTGGCACAGGCTGTTCAGCACACAGCTCCTGTTTTGGACTGTATGCACGTGACGGGCCAGCAAAAGCTCATCAGACGGCTAATGTGCTGAGAAGGCACAGTTGTGGCATCTTGTTTGCAATTTTCCTCCGCGAGAATCCTCAAACCCGCATGCAACTCGTCCCCTAAATATCCAAAAGCTACAGTTGCCTTTTCCTCATGCTGAGCAACTGTTCGGCGTTTGGCACAAAGAAGAAACTTCACAATCCTTCAAAAAAAAAAGTATTGTACATCTTGAATAAACGCAACACTTGAATTCAACTTCACATACTGTATTCATGGACGCATTTGCGACACTGAAGCTGTAGACTTGTATGTCTTGCAGTAGTTACAGCTTGCTTTACTATTTACATTCAGTGATATTCAATAGGTAGCATTGTAAGCACTTGGCCAAAAACGTATATAACTACATTCATCATTAATAAATAATCTTCCATTCCGTTTTTTCGTTCTAACTGTTTTTCATTAAAAATAGGAACATTCCTGTGCAATAAACGGTTTACATCTTCATGTAAAAATGTGATGACAAAAGAAAGATGCATCACTTTAATTTAGAGTCACACTTCTTGGGATTGATATGATTGAAAAGTAGGATAAGGAGACGTCTCGATAGGTTATGACACGAAATGTATTCACATGATGATCAGGGGACTTTTTAAAAAAATGAAACATATGCGTCAACATGCAGGATCTCCACTTCAATGTCTCAGAAATTCAGAAAACTGTTCTGATTCAAGTCTCATGTGTTACTTTGGGATTTCTGGAGGCTTTCTTGGTTCTGCTTATTCAGCGCATCCCGAGCCGTTTGAGTCCCCTTCTGATCCTCAATGGAGCAGTTGGAGACGGCGTTGGCTACCAGGCAGAACTTGCGAAGGAGGATCTCTCTGAGGAGTAGGTAAACCCACGGGTCCAGGATCTGGTTGAGCGAGGCCAGGCGGATGGCAGTCAGGAAGAAGTTACAGTCCAACTGAACATCTCGCACTGAGTTGGGATGGGAACTCTCGGGTGAGGAATTACATTCGTGAGAGGACACCTGGGTGGAGATCATTCTCAGCATCAGCACCTGGGCAGGGTTGGAGGGTGGGGGTCGGGGTGGGGGTATCGGGGGGAACAGCAATCTCATTCAGTCTTTGGACATCATCTAACATGCATTACTAATAAACAGACTGAGAAATTATATGTGTTCATGCGTTATAGTTTCAATGTATCACATAAATAATATGCAATGGCCTCCAAAAAGTTGGAACTCAGGCCCGTACCTTGATTTTTTTTCTGCAGGCTGAAAACATTGATGTTTTTGTTGCACCCCTAGTATTAACTCATGATCAATGTTTACCAATGTTTTACCTCATTTGTTATGAAGCAGATTGGAAACCTAAAGTGGGATTTTTAGGTGAGAAATGGATTATATATTTCATTTTGAGAATCACTATTTTTGTGTCACTATTTTTTTGTGATGGAAGAAGAGAAAAAAGAAACAGAATGAAAGATTTTTGGTTGCCCCACCAAATCCACCTCATCCTGCACCAGAGGAAGTCATCAGCATGGATCTCAGTGATCTATCGCCACAACTTTGATTATCAACCACTTCTCATTTACTTGACTATTAAAGTTTTGCTTAAAATTATAACTTCTGTTTTCCAACCGTCTGTGACAGTCAATTCAATATCTGTTTAGAGCACAAGAGACATTTAAAGATGCGATTGTGGCCATTGAAAAAACGTTTATTAATTAATTAATTAATTAATTATTAGGCAGTATGTAAAAAACATTTTAATTTGAAACAAGTACCGGTTGTCATTAGCTAATTTGTAACATGCTCCTTCCTCTCAATCCAGTCGTTCTTTTTGCGCCAGCAGTGTGCGAGCATCCCGATTATGTCATTTTACTTCAAAAACTGAAAATGTAAAGCACGGACGGACCAGAGAACTAAAATGGCAAGTCATCGAATGCAATTATTAGATTTTTTTTTTAACTCTTCACATACAGGGAAAGGGACAGGGAGACTCTGCCCTGACCGCACGTCCCTGTTCGAGATGAATGACACAATACAATGCGGAATATCCCGAATAGGAAACAAACCACTGGTATATTAAGCAACAGATGTCAAACGGGGGAGCTCAAGGAACAAAGTAGCAGCTGATGACGAAAGACCCCCGAAACAACTTTTCATGACATCTACAACAACCCCCAGAAGGAAGAAGTGTAGTTGATGAACATGAATATAAGAGCATGACTCATTCAAATGAGGGAGAGGCGGGCCAGGCTGAAATTTGCCACAAAGAACTGAGACAAGCTTCACAAATGCTGGGAGAGAGCGGCACGGCCAGATGAGACAAAGATTAAGTACAAATTTAATATCTGTAAAAACCCATGGGCTTGCATTGCTTCTTCTAGAACAGGCTCATTCATCTTCACTGATGTAATGTGACAACTCAGAAGTCGACACAAACAATGTGTCTGGTAATTTAAATAAAGATGCAACGCAACTGATTAAGAGTTCCCTCGTCATGCAGCAAGATAATGACCCAAAACACACACTACCTCATCAATAAAGGAGCTCAATGGAGCAAGGAATGGAAGCTTTTGGACGAGCAGACTTAAACCTTCGAGAGTATGCTTTTTTGTTTTACCTTCTAATGGGTCTGTAGGGAGTAACTGCCAAAACAAACAACTGAACACTCTAAAAACAGTTGGGCCACAAATTAGCCAATCTGGGTCAAAAAGGAACTAACCTGCTACTTGGGTCAATTTCATCCATATCTGAAAGTTTTTTTTTTTTTTTAACAACCCAGTTTTGTGCAATATGTGTGATATGACATTATCCATAAATCCAACTTTACAGTATTTTTTTTTTTTTTTTAACAGAACTTAATGAGGGTCGCTGATGGTATAGTGGTACACGTGTGCGGGCAGCGTGAGAGTTGGTTCCCACTCAGCGTCGGTGTAGTTGTGGGTGTGAGTGGTTGTCTGTCTCAATATGTGCCCTGTGACTGACTGGCGACCAGTTCAGGGTGCCGTCTGCCTTCCGCCCAAAGTTAGCTGGGATAGGCTCTAGCAACTCCCCACAACCCTGTTCAGGATAAGTGGTGTTGAAAAGGATGGATGGATGGATGGATGGATGGATGGATGGATGGATGGATGGATGGATGGATGGATGGATGGATGGATGGATGGGTTAAATTAATGAATTTGACCAGTGTATCATTTATTGTTGAGCTTGATGTACTAAACTGCTGTGGTGTGATACAACGGGCAGTCAGATAGTTGGGAATCCTGTGTGTGATTTAAATCTTGTTGCAGAATCATTCAGGTGTTCGGAGATCTGGATGAACAGCAAAGGAGTACGTTGTTAGTGACCTGCACTATGCAGGTAACTCAATGTCTGTTTTCTTGAGTCTGACATCGACTTTGTACAAAGGCAAGATTGATGATTTGAGGTGCTGGCTTGTCAGTGGACATTTTTGCATATTCATTAAGAAGTACAGAAATGCAGTCTTAAGGTTGTCCACTCTTATAAGAAGGTAATAAAAGGTTTGAAACAAGTGCCACGTTGGATTTTTAAGACATAATTCATCCATCCATCCATCCATCCATTCATCCATTTTCTGATCTGCTGATCTTTACAAGGGTCGCGGGGTGTGTTGGAGCTTATCCCAGATGCCTTCGGGCAGTAGGCGGGGGACACCCTGAACTGGTTGCCAGCCAATCGCAGGGCACACCTAGACGAACAACCATCCGCGCTCACACTCACACCTAGGGACAAGTCTTCCATTAACCTGCCACATGTTATTTTTTGGAGTGTGGGAGGAAACCAGAGTACCCGTAGAAAACCCACGCAGGCACGGGGAGAACATGCAAACTCCACACTGGAAGGCCAAAGCCGGAATCGAACCATGCACCTCTGCACTGTAAGGCCGACGCGCTAACCACTGGACCACCGGGTCGCCTAAGTAGTACAAAATAAAAACAGATCAAAGAAGACTGTGTCAACAAGTTTCTTCATTATTTCCCATCACCTGACATCATCCAGAATTATCAGGATGATTCAACCTCAAAGAAATTCACTGGAAAAAAAAACCCAACCAGAACGTTCGGTCAAATTGACTCAGGCTGTGGGAATGGTCCCTTTTCACCCAAATTGGGTTATTTTTGACCCAACTGTTTTTAGAGTGAAAGAGTCTGCGGCGAAGAGGCAGATTCCAGATTCACATTCAATTTCCACATCACCAAAATGCAAGAATACAAAACGCATACTTTAACAATGCATTCATGATAATATTTAGTCCAATTTGTTGCCTCTTTAAATGCTCCCAGGATGACAATACGCAGCTGTCAGAGGACGGGGACCCCGCTTTACAAACACCGCGACCTCACAGACATGTGCTTTCTAATAACGTCCTTGGTCAGACAATTACACATGTGACTAACAATGCATGCCCTCAAAATTCATGCAGCAGACCCCTGGAACAGAACTCAGCTAAGTGGATTGGCCCTTAATGGATAACAGGGACAGTGTTTGAGGAGGAATCGGGAGGGTGGGAGGGCACCATTCATCTACTCAAGGCCTGGCAATGTGAAGAAACGAAAAGTACAGTCTGTCAGCTTGAAATATACGCCAACATTTTCAGCACTTTTAAAGGTACACACCGTCAAATGCAATTATTGTCCCCTTGGATTCTAATTTGAGGCATGAAAATGGACACCCTTTTTTTCGGCTAGCGTCGGATCAAACGGAACACTGGTGTGTCTGCTCTTGTTAGTGTACTGCTGAAAGGAGATGAAGCATCTCCAGAAACAAACAGCTGCAAATGTGTGGCGGTGTGTGCGCGCACGCGCACATTATTTTTTGCATGTGTGTCCATATCTGGCTGTTGAATTGATTACGGATTACGTTATCATAACAGAATGTCGCAGCGGTTTTTTTATACCTCATCAGAAGCAAATAGTGGAACACTTGAGCATTACATTTTCATGATAGCTTTTTTAAAATCACACTTTTTAGTATGTAATCGTCACTCACTAGAAGAGATCATGGACAGAAAAGCATTGATTTTCCTTGCTTGCTTCATAAACAACTTCCCAGGGCCGGAACCTCAAAAAGAGTGACTGTACTAGATTTTTATGATGATTTACATCTCTTTTAAAAAATAATTAAAGTGGCTAATGTCATATATCGCTGCACTTGTGCAGGGAAGTAGGAAACATCCTATGTCGCAAGTCCAACCTCAAAGTGATCCAACATCAAACTATTAACAGAATTGTGGAAGACTATCAGTAGGGCTTCACTTCATTGATTCCAACCCTTACAATATGGCAGATTATCGTGCCATTTGCTATCAGGTGACCAGTGGGAATTTATCTACTTTCCCATTTGTACATTTCATTTCCACAAAAAAAAAAAGTGCATTCACTTCAAATAATGTCTTTTTTCATCTATCTATCTATCTATCTATCTATCTATGGAAAAGTGTAACTTCTTTTCCAATGCTAAATACAAAATATATAAAAACTCGACACGCTCTGTTCAAATATTGACCCCATCTCTGATTTAAAAAAAATAAGATAAATCATTTCACCCTACACGTGGAAAGTGGGTGTGTTTAAAATTAACAAATGACATCAGACATGCTAAACTGGAGTCAGTATACAACTGCCATCATTTAAAGTACAACCCCACACAAAGTTGGACTGTTCTCGGAGGTTTTCCCTGCTTTGATATTTTTCTTTGTCAGATACAGCTCCTGTCTTGCCATTCTACTCCATAGCCCCGACATACGAAAAGATGGGAGACTGCTGACATGTACTTTTGAGCCAGCACTTTCCAGAAATTTCTGCAGCTCCATCACTGTTGCTGTTGGCCTATTGGGAGCATCCCTTCTCATCTTTTCATCAGTTTGAGGCACATCCAGTTGTTACTGTCACTGCGGTGTCATATTTTCTCCAATTGATGATTGCTTCACTGTGTTCCATGTTATTTACTGCCCTGCCCTGTTTTTTTTGGGGGAGGGTTGTTTTTTGACACTGCTCCTGACTGATACGTTTGAGCAATAAGACCCCTCTGATGCTTTGGAAGCTCTCTGCAGATCATGACTTGTGCTGTAGGATGACTGAAAAGGTTATGAAGCTAAATTTAACATACTTAAAGTAGTGGTAGATGTATGCTGATTCCCCCCATTTACCATGACTTTTAATGTGATTGGTTCATTCTCAACACAGCCTTATGTCATTGTAAGAGAGTGCACACAATCGTGCACCCACATACACCAGTCGTTTCTCTTTGCTCCTGCTCTCAAACAGATTATTAAAAAATTCTCAACTGATCTGCATTTTACAGATCATATCGGGAAGATTTGTCTCAGTCTCCCCCCGGCCCCCTTTTTTTCTTACAAAACAACAAAGCTAAACATTTGAACAGGGAGGTGTAGACATTTATATCCATTGCATGTGCCTTGGCTCTATTGAGGGTGGAAAACACTGATACATGGTCAACTACACTGTAAGGAAGTAATGAAAACATACCAATAGAGGAGACCAGCACACAAGCAAGACGCACATAATCCCCATGAGTTGAATGACGGTCTCCGTGGTGAGTCTTTCCCAGTGTTTGGAGGCCTGAGACGTGCCAGACTTGGTTTTACAGCGAACAATCAGGCCGCGGATGGTCACCACGTTGCAGGACACCGTGACAAGCAGCGAGAAAATCCCCAGTAAGGCAAAAGTGAAGGCGAAAAAGCTGTTCCCCGGCCCTTCTCTGTCCCCGGTGCTGATAAAGCACCAAGTGCCGGGCCACTGGCGCGTATACTTGCCCACCCCTGCCACGGGCAGGAGGGCGAAGAGCAACACCAGGCACCAGATGACCACCAGAGTCTGCTTGGTCACGCTGGTCTTCATGTGGTTGGAGTACCAGTGCGGGTTGGTGATGGCCGTGGCCCTTTCCATGGCCATGGCGCTGGCCATGAAGAGCGCGCACAGGCCGAAAGTGGTCATGCATACACCGAAGAACGCGCACAGGTTGCCAGACGAGTCGATGCGCTCCCATCTCAGGTCGGCGCGATAAACCGAGATCACTATCGGACTCGTCAGGAGCTGGCCGAACAGGTCTGTCAGCGCTAGAGACCCAATGCAAAGCAAGAAGGACTTCTTCCTTCGGTTCTCCTTCTTCCTGTAGGAGATGTAGACCAGGATGAGAGCCAGAGAGTTGCCCACCATGCCCGTGGCCATCATGGTGATGGGAAAGACAACCGATACGTAACCGCAACCGATCTCCGTCCTGGTAACGTTTTCTTCACCGGCCGACCTGGTCACATTGGACGTCAGCATAGCTCCTATTCTGTTTTTCGAGCCCTCAAGAAAGTCACACTTGTCCGAAGTCATCCTTTCGGACGGGCTAAGAAGCGGAGGCGAATCACAGAAGACGTGCGTGTGTGCACCATCTCTTCAGAGATCCACACTGAGCCGAGCGGCTCTGTGCGTAAAAGCGCCCTCAGCCCTTTGACGCGCCAGAGGCGGGAC